AAGTCCGATTTTATGAGGCATCTCCATGTAAAATATACGTAATCTGTACATAAAAACACGACAAAATTAATTAAATACATTCTCTCTGTAGTTAATTAATAATCGCACTAGACAAAGGATATACATTGGTATCATTCGACTATTTAAATCCTGTAATATTCCGTTTAGTAATAAAACGCATTTTTCATTGTCAAAATATTCCTCAATATGCCACTCACGGCACATGAAATACGTCATTTTTACCAGAATGACGTCATGATTGACAAGTTCATCGAGATAAGAGATTTGTTTATAACCAGATTTTTGGGATTTAACTAGCAACTTTTTTGATGCATTGATAAGTTCTATTGTTGTTTATTATGCTAATGCAGTTTAAAAGTTGCAAATTATTTCATTTTCAGGTATTATGAGAAATACATAAAAGTCATATTTTTGTGTGACGTCACAGTAAACTTTTCCTTTATAAATTAGGCCTCGACCCTTTTTCAAGCCTTAACAATTCCAAAAGGAAGATCTTTCACAATATGAGAAGATGTAATGAATTCAAGAAAGTTGTCTAATTTAGCTTGGTCCATACGCTGACGAATATCTTCTTTTTCTGAAGGTGGCAGGCAACATCCCTCTAAGCTGGCATGTTTCTTCGCAGCATAATATCTGAAGAAAATCGTGAAAATATTGTTCATTCAATGTAAATAAGAGACAGGTGAGCCACAATGCTTTCCTAAGTAACTCAGGCCCTTATATTCTTCACCACATTTTCCCCCTTTAACATTTATTGTGGTCCTACTAAACCCCAAGAATCATGATTTAAACAAATAAGAAAGAAACTACTTAGAATTCATGCAAGGCATTCAAGCTACACCAGGAAACTTCTACACCACAGTGTATATAAGTTTAAGCTTTTCTTGATTATCTCCCCTTTTGAGGGGACATGGCCCTTCATTTTAACAATTTATATACCCTTTTACCCAAGGATGCTTTGTACCAAGTTTTGTTAAAATTGGCCCCGTGGTTCTTGAGAAGAAGTTGAAAATGTGAAAAGTTTACAGACGAACGGACAGCTAAACGATGGATGACAGACAAAATGTGACCAGAAAAGCTCACTTGAGCCTTTGGCTCAGGTAAGCTAAAAAAGCTCACTTGAGCTATCAGCTCAGTTGAGCTAAAATCTTCCTTTTCTTGGGAAAAAAATTATTTAACAGCTAGAGGAAAGACCACTAAAAAAAGTCAATTTCTCCATTTGAAATAACAATATTGGCTATCATACATATTTTTTTTCATAAAAACTTGGAGGAGGGAGGTAAGATTACAAAAGATAGATACCTGTACTCAGTGGTACCAGGAAGAAGAACTTTTATATCTTGGTAGCTTTTGGACACTGAGAGAACAGATAAAATCTGTCGTCTTATCTGCCACGAACTTGCTTTCTTATAGGACTCTATTAGAGCTTCTGTGATATCACTTTCAGCTGGCAAGTAGGTAACTGGATTGTGATCTGGATTGCCTACTTCTTGATGGAATTCCTTCATCACAATGTATTTATCACCTCCAAACAAAATTTCTGCTACTCTCTCCAACATATTCTACAGATATACATATTTCACTGCTAAATTACATAATTTTACAAAATGCAACTTTCATCGATAATATACATGTCATGTTTACTTGATTTCCTTTGAGTCATAAATAAGTACATGTTTAACAATGTTCGGGGAAGCCCTTGAATAAATTTTCTCTTACTTGTAGAAATATTTTTTTCTGCTAAATACTGAACACGCTAAGTATGATTATTATGTAAATATATACAGTTACATTACCCTTGCTCATAACAACTTTGTAATCTGTCTGCCTCCTACAGTTAGAAGCCTGAATTACCGGTATAAGAGCTAGTGAACAAATTGATTCACCATGAATGATACCTGCATTCCTTTGAAATATTTCTTTTTTGTTTTTGCTGTGTAAGTTTGCCAAAGTGAATGAGGAAAACTAAATGGCTCTAAATCAACATCTATGAGAAATCTGTTCAATCTGTCCAAGTTATCAATCTCTACATAGGAGCCTTGGGAACTCATCTCAATTTCCTCTACTGTAGTACCCTAAAGATAACAATTAATTTTAAATACAATACATGTTGTTTATAATATTTTCAATTAATTTTAGAACTAAAAGATTTGTTTGAAAAAGTGACCCATTGGCTGCATTGTTCATTGGAGCACTTTGGTGTGAGAAAAGTTGACATTAGTTCTTGAACAGTTTAAATGAATAAAAATAGTCCCCGTCCTTACCCCACATCCATTTATCCCAGAAGGGTGGGGAAGGAGTCATGAATTAAAACTCAAAAGTCTACGTTAACTGACGAGGCTTCCATACAAAAGGCCCATGGGCGACATTGCCCACCTGAGCACAGTAGCTTGAAAAAAAGCAGAAAACAGTTTATTATTGAAAAGTTTAACCCAAAAAGTGGTCCCATTTTACCAACCCTGAAGGGGAGGAGAGGGTATAATTTGAAGAAACATGAATCTACACTAAGGATGCTTGAATATTTCTTTGACTACCTGTGGCTTCATTGACCTTTACATTTGAACTTACATTGTGGCCCTGCCCCACCCCTAGAAGTCTTAACTTAACAAACTTGAACATTACCTGAGAATTCTTCCATATGAATTTTTACTAATCAAGGATTTACTATTCTTGACAAGAAGATAATATTAGATTTGTTAAGATTCTTACTACATATTTCTATGTAAAATTTGAATTCAATGTTGTGGCCCCGCCCCTACCCCCAGGGCGTCATGATGTGATTAAACTTGAATCTACACTACATGAGGATGCTTCCATATAAATATGACTAATCATGGCTTTGCTATTCTTGAAAAGAAGATTTTTAAGGAAATGTTTCTATATATTTCTATGTAAAAGTACTAAATCTTTGATCAGCCATTGTGACCCTACCCTACCCCTGGGGTCATGATTTGAATCTTAAGACAAATTTCACATTCCTAAGAGTTATTTCCCGGTGTGGGCGCAACGCTCATTTTCCCACTTTGTCCTTTGTAAGTTACCTGTTAATATTTTTAAATATCAAACGTTGTAGGTGTCAATTTCGATGTGTATCTGTATTGCCAGAGTATGAGGCAACATGAAAAAAATAATAAATATATTCATAAAGATTTTATTTCTAGGATACAGACCCATAAAGTTGGTAAGGTTATAGAGGGAAAACAGCGTCTTACGCCGGTTGACCCTGGATTGACCCCGCAAAGGGGAATAACTTTTGTAAATGTGAAAGTCGTCTATACTACCTGAGGATGCTTACATATATGTGTAAGTATGATCATTCATGCCATTGCTATTCTTGAAAAGAATTTTAAAGAATTTCCCTATATATTTCTATGTAAAATTTGATAAGCTATTGCACCCCCCCCCCTCTTCGGGGTCACGAATTGACCAAAAATAAATCTACACTACCCTAATCTTTTTTCTATGTGTTCCTTAAAAAAACTTTTATTTCCTATTGTGACCCCACCCTACCCCAGGGGTCATGATTTAAACAAACTTGAATTTATATACACTAAAGTTGTAAAGCCTTCATATATATAAGTTTCGTCTTTCCTGGCCCAGTGGGTAATAAGAAGATATCTTAAAAGAAGCCATCATATTTTCACTCATTTTTAATTATCTCCCCTTTAAGAATTTTTTTCATCAAAGGTGCTTCTAGGTCAGGTGAACTAAAATCATCAAAAGGCACACTTAATGCCAAATAGCACTTCATTAAAAGTAACTGTATCTCTAACTGCATGAAAAGTACGTTTACTTTTTACGAACCTGGGAACTACTAATTGTTGTCTGACTTGTGTGGAAATCCCCTGTCGCTGAGTTATCCTGTTGACCTGCATCATGCATCTTCATAAAGAATTGTAAAAATATTTATTACAAAAAAAAAAAAACAAACAAAAATGTTACACATTATATGTTTTAAATTTGCAGAATTATTCATTTTATTAATATATATTTGTAATTATTTATGAATTTTTTTTTTCCCTCAGCTTAAAATTTTGTTTAGTTTGAAGTATCTGTTCAGTAATTTTTATATTTTTCTTGCAGACTTTTAAGACATATATGACACCAATGCTGTCGTGCAACCACCCCCCCCCCCTCCTTCCTCCCCTCATCAACAAATGGAGGGAGAAGAGAGTTTATTGCAAAGTAAACTAGAGTGTATGGCAAGAAATTTCATGTTTTAAAAACAACAAAATTGCTCCCTCACTTATACATTACACATTATTTACATATTATCAAATTGTGCACTGAATTTATTCTTCAGATTTTTATCCTTACTTACCTGTACATTGTGCCCCAAAACAGACGTTATATCAGCTTCATGTTCTTCTCCATGTTCCCTCACTTCCCTTACTCTCATTAGACATCTTGTACATATTGCTGCATTGAAAATACAATGATAAGAATATTTAAGAAAATAATTTAATTATTTTATTTTTTAAGGGCTGCTCTCTGAAATGACTTTTTTAAATGTGGAATATCACTAGAATATTTGTCATTGGAGGGAGGGGGTGTAACTTACTGTTTGTGGGCAAGCAAAGTATTGTTATTTTGTTGATAATGTTTTACAGGGAGTCTTATCCTAGCTGCAAATGTTAAGATTTTTCAATAAGCTCAAAAATCTATCTCAAAGGTCAAGGCCAAAAGGTCAAGGATATTAATATCTAATGAAAGGTCTTGCTAGATTGAATACTTATGAAGAGTATGGAAGCCCTAGCCCTGAGCATTCAGAAGTTATGACCAAAGTTATACATTTTTATAAAGTATGTCAAACTCCAAGGTCAAGGTTCAAGGTTTTTGTTATCAAATGAAAGGACTTGTCACAAGGAGTAAATATCTAAAGTGTGAAAGCACTAGTCTTAACCCTTTAAAAGTTAAGGTCAATGTTTGCTCTTCAAAAGTAGACCAAACTCAAAACAGGGTTCTCCATAAGCTGTTTAACTGGATTGGTCCCTACACGGTAAAATTTTCTCCGCCACAGTCACGATTCAAAATTTATGCGTGCGACCAATAAAAAAAAACGACACAGTAAGATTTGTGATAATCAGAAAATCCAAACTTATATATATGAGGTACAGGAACGTATTTACATATATACAAAATACAAAGTCAAGTAAGGAAGAGTAGTGTCAATTAAAGAAAATAGTAACTAGAAGCAGGCCAATATCTTTTTTAAAAAACAAAGCCAGTTTTAACAGCGAATCAACATTTGTGATGGACATAATTTTCTCAAATTTATAAGTATTTACATGACAACAATACTTTTTATCAATAAGTTTTACCCGTAAAGACGAGAAATATGGACATTCCATTACATAGTGAAATTCAACCCCCAAAGTATTTTTGTTACATAAATTACATAATCTTAAAGATCTATCAGTATTAGTCCATCTACCATATTCGACTGGAAGTTTGTGGTAACAAGTTCTAAATTTTGTTAATACAATTCTTAAATCTTTTGGGAGTTTACTTAAGTACATTTCTCGTCCAAAATTGTTTTTGAAAATCCTGTAATTTAAACATTTAGATGAATTTTCTATGTTCATATGCCAGTCTTGTAAAAATTGATTTAACAACGTTTTTTTCACAATAGATTTTAACCATGTAATACTAATGAAATTTTGATTCATCTACACATATGACAGACCACAGGAATTCAAAATATCCCTTATACATTTCAACCATGGGTGCATAAATGATCCTTCAGAGAATTGTTTATAAAGAAAGCAATACATTATGTATGCCAGCTTACTCTCATGTGACATCAAAAGTTTAGCCCAGTAAGTAATCATTCGTACCTTTATACGTATTATTAAAGGATATCGCCCAGTTTCCCCATACACCATACAATTTGGGGTACTGGACTTAACATCAATACAAATTTCAAAAATTTTAAGTGTACATTTTCTAAAATATCTATGTTTTCGTAGCCCCAAACTTCACATCCGTACAACAAAATCGGGCTTATAACTCTGTCAAAAAGATCTATTTGACAATCTACTGGCAAGTTAAAATACCTTATCTTTCTAAGAACTCCATACATTGCTTTTGAAGCTTGTTTAGTTAAGTGTGTTTTGGCACTTTTGAAGAAACCACTACGGGACATGATAACACCTAAGTATTTAAATTCGTTCACAATTTCAATTGGTGCTTCTCTGTACAAAAATATTTTTGAGGGGATCCTTCCCCTAGAAAAAATTACTATCTTAGTTTTGTCTGTATTTACTTGAAGTTTCCAGTGGTCACAATAATCAGAAAAAAATATTCAACGCTCTTTGTAAATCATCTGAGTTATCAGATAGTAAAACTGTGTCGTTAGCATAGAAAAGTATAAATAATTTAAACAAAATCTGCATTTCATTTTCTATTTTTTCACTTAAGCTCTTAATCCCTTCAATATTATTCTGCAGTAGATAATTTTCTAAATCATTGATATACAAGTTAAAAAGAAATGGGGATAAATTTTCCCCCTGCCTTACCCCAAGATTACACCTGAAAAACTCTGAAGTATTTTGGTCAATACAAATCATCGATTTTATACCACTATACATATTTTTGATAAATCTTAGACATTTACCATCTATCCCACTTTTTAACACTTTGGACCACAAACCAGATCGCCATACTGTATCAAAGGCTTGCTTAAAATCAATAAATGCACAATAAAGTTTTTTCTTACTAAACAAAACAAATTTACACAAAAAATCTAATATCAATATATTATCTATTGTACTATATCCTTTTCTAAAGCCAGTTTGAGCTTCAGTAATCAGTTCGAATTCATCAGCAAAAGTATTCAAACGCTCACATAAAATGCTGGTAAAAACTTTTCCTAAACAGCTTAATAATGTTATTGGTCTATAGTTTTCAGGAAGAGTTGGATCACCCTTGTTTTTATATATTGGCTTAACGATACCAATGAGCCATTCCTCAGGTACATAACCAGTATCAAAAATCACATTGAAAATATCAACATAAATTGGCAAAAAACTTGATATTGTTGTTCTTATGAATTCGTTACAGATTTGGTCATATCCTGGAGCTTTATTATTTTTTAGTTTGTTAACTGCTTGCAAAATTTCTTCTGCAGAGAACTGACAATTTAAAGGAGAATTATCATCGAGATTGACATTATAATCATCATCAACTTCATCATCTTTAGATTCATTAATTTTTTTCAAGAAATCGTACATTGATTTGATATCGACTTCAGTTTTACATCTAGCCTTCGAGTTATTTAAAATTCTCCAATATTCTTTCATATTACTTTTCTGTAGATTTTCTAATTTTGAGGTTATAGATAAAGTATGTTCTTTAATACATCTATCCATTGTTTTCTTGTACTCTTTACTTGTGATCTTAAGATTTTCGGAGTTTTCCGGGGTTTTGTGTTTGTTGTGAAGGCGTTTAGCCAAAATTTTCTTCTTGCAGTCCTACATGACGCGTTGTACCATGGTCTATTTACGTTTTGGCTATTGTTTAATTTTGGTTTGCTTTTAACATCTAATGTAACTTCTGCTGAAGATAGAAATAAACTACATAATTTGCTAGAAATGTTATTGATATCGTTATTTTGAACAGTATCAAGATTTTCTCTTAGTTGTAAAATTTCTGCATGTAATTCTTTCAATTTCTCGACATCAATATTTTCTTTAAATTGTTCAGATTTTTCCGGATTCCATATAGACTGCTTTTTATTGTTTTCGTTACACGGTTGATCGGTTGAGCGGGTCTCTGCCTTTAGGCTTTCTAATTCAAATGTTATTGGACAATGAACATAGGAATATAAGTTACAAAAATCGTGGATGTTAAAATTTTTAAGCAGTGTAAACATATATAAAAATTCATCGATATTTACACAGTCTTGTAATTTACCTACACGGGCATTAAAATCACCAAGTAAACAGGTATAATTAGTCTCATGTGAGAGATTAAACAATTCTCTCTTTATTTCTAGAAAACAATCTTTTGATGCATATTTTGTGTTTTCAGGGGGTATATATACAGCTCCAAATAAAATATCGTTTGGTAAATTAAACAAAGTTTTGGCAAGTGAAAACCAGTAAACATATGGACAACATGTATTATGTACAGTAAAAAATTTAACAAAGTCTACTTTGACGGCTTAAACTATTCCGCCAGATTTAACCTTTGCTACATCAAATCTATTTTTCATGTGAGTATAATACCCTAGTATATTAATATCGTCAGTATTATCTGTTCTTGTTTAAGTTAAACACAAGATGTCATATTCCGAGATAAAATTTAAAAATTCAGGGTACTGTAGTTTACGCCTGAGCCCGCACACATTTAATGTCAGGAATTTTAGTCGGCGTGGAGACTGCTCTTCCTTGTGCCCCTAGCCGTCGCGATCTGGAGTTGACGTTTGGAGCGGTCTTTTGGTAGCCTGTCGGTCAGTGCTTATTGAAACCTGTTTTGCTTTCCCTGATTGGTCACGAATCGATCAGCTTGATCAGGCGGTGGAATGTAAACTTTACCGTCTATGTATAAAGTGTCCCGAACAAGTTTGACTTTTTTGTGATCCCTCCTGGCTTGTCGGATGACGGGATATAACTTCTTTCTTTTTTTCTTCGATCTCTGTAGTATTGCTCGTTGACCCAGATACGAGTGCCGCTTAACTTTTGTGGTGCACGTGTCCGTATGAACTCCCGGTCTTTAAAAGAAAGAGAACTTAGCAACTATATTGCGGGGGAATTCGTTAAATTCGTTCCACTTCCCCATCCTATGCACTCTCTCAAACGAAATTTCGTAGCCAGGCTTGAATTTACGGTAAATAAATTCTTGTAACACTGCTTCGGTGTCTTCGTTTTTCTCTTCCCATATTCCACTGAACATCAAGTTGTCCCTCATGGAGCGAGCTTTGAGATCAATCATCGACTCCCGTAAGTTGTCACTTGCCTCATTCAATGTCTTCTGATCTTGCTGACCTTTTCCTAGCTGCAGATCTGTAGCTCTCCGAAAAAAAAATTTATATACCGGAGAGCTACAGTGCCACCCATTGAAAAAACAGTATATTTATTTCGCACAAAAAAGTGCGCTAGATTCTTGATTAATTTTCCAAATTCTTACCTCAATTGCAAAAAATAGAAGATTTCAAAGAATTACTCTCTCCTCTATCAAGTTCTCTCGTAGTTGACATCTGAGTGAAGCATATTGGACCGAATTATCTTTGAAACCAAAATGGCAGTATAAATAAGCGAAATGTCCGATGATTGCAATATCAGGGCCATGAGGACTATTAACAACAATTATGAGGAATGTTTTGTTGTTGAAAGAGTCAAAGAATATGTTAGGAACACACGGTTAGTAATATTTTGAGATTACAGCTTTAAAAACATGGAGAAATAAATGGAGAACCGAGCGCATTTTTTTGTGCGCAATAAATATACAGATTTTTCAATGGGTGGCTCTGTAGCTCTCCGGTCTATCAATATATAATTTTTCGGAGAGCTACAGATCTGCAGCTAACCTTTTCCCTCTCTGATTTCAACCAACTCCTTTCGGTTTTCATTTATCTGTTTCGAGTTGGATCCCACT